ACCGTGACAACTTATGATACCAATTCCAAAATAAGGTAATTCTCTAAGCAGAGATTTTGTTATTTTTATAAAACTTTTATCTTTTTTCATGGCAAAAATTTGAAATTAAATATCATAAACTTGAAGTGAAAAGTACTTAGCTGGCTGGAAAAAAGCTCTATAAGTTGTTTAGTCATCTTGGTCATAGTCTTCAGCATACACTTGTGCATCTTCGCCTTGCTTTAACTTATCCAGATCTTCGTACTTGGTCAACTTTATAACAGTCGATGAGTCATCTTTTCGAAGAAAAACAGCCGTGCTTTTTGACCAGCAAAACTTGTAATCATTTGCACTTTTAAAACGCTTTGTTTCGTATAACAGACTTTGCAGCCTCGGGGTTAAATGATGGTAAATACTAACGTGTTTCGAGGTCATGAAAGGAGGAAGACCAAGGTCACTTGGGGTCAAATTACGTAACGCCTTTTTGGCAGCCATTACTTCTTCCTTCGCTAAGCGGCGAGTAAACTTGGAAATAATAGGATCAGGATAATTTTGTCCAGGGCGACTAGGCTTCCTCTTAGGAACTCTATGAGCAGTGTCGATGTCTTGTAAAGTGACATCACTTGCACCCATACTGTGGAAAATCTTTAAGCACAGATCTGCAGTGGAACGGGAAGATTCTCGAATMTCTGTTTGAGGGACGCCAACGATCTTGATGTTGTATTGATAGCTATATTGCTGGATGCTTTCAATAACTTCGTCAATCTGATAAATCTTAATTGAGAGCTCTGCTAGTGTAGTAGAAATTCGGTTAATTTCGCGAGTAAATGTGGCATTCGAAGCCGAGAGCCCATCGTACTCATCACTGAGAAACTGCAATCCTTTGGCTTGATCTATTAGTTGAGCACAAGGGGCTTCTTTCTCGACTGCGGATTTAAGTTTTTCCATGTCTTTAGACCAAGTACTATTCATAGTCACTTTGACTATGTAAATTATGTCCCAGAGGAATTGTTAATATGTATTCTCACGGACTTTATACTATTACAAAAGGAAAAAGATGCCATGAATTAATCACTCTCACTAAACCACCAGCGAAGAAGTGTACGTTCTTTGGTTTGTGAAGTCTTTAACCCGGCTTGCTCAAGGGATGGCTAACAAAGACATTGAGAATTTGGTTCGTTCAGCCTTGGAAGAATACACTAATGGAAACGGGGGTGATGCCGTCGGTGCCCATCATTGCCACAGGTTGTTTAAGAGACGCAAGATGTAGAAGTTTGTGATTTATTCGTTTACATCCCAGTTCTTGATTAGTCGAGAATTGTAAAGTTGTAGTGAAATTCTGCAATTTCGTAGTGTGTTTTTCGGTTACCAAGCACGAGTGTGGTTGGTTGTTAGGCTTTACATGTTTTTTCCCCCTTTATTTTACCATCAATACTTTTATATTATTATTTGTGGTATACTTCTGTACTCTTTGTTTGTTTGGCCATGCGCACGCTATTGGTGTACAATCGCGTAACAAATTTCTAACGCTATATTTTGCATATTTTCTCAAAAACTACAAAACATTTGTTCATGAAATTTCACAGAAAAAATCTGCAGTTCATGTGCACCTTGAAAATAACTTGATTTTGCTTTAAAATAAAAGGTTAAGAA